GCCGCCTCCCAAGGGAGTTCCCAAGTCAGGTGGGACCCCTGCGTAGCCACACCTGCTGAGACCACAAACCCGGCTTTCTGCCCCTCCCACTCCATCATTAGCACAACCATCCCGACCCCGTTCTCCACCTGTTAAAACCACAGCAGCCCAGCTGCTGTCACTTGCATTACTCATCCTCGGGGCTCGCAGCTGGGAGTGGAATGGAAAGTATTTTGTCCCCAATTTGCAGCTGGAGAGCCAGAGCTTGGAAAAGCCCCAGGTTACTGTCATCCCTGGAATCCAGGTTCCTGGGTGGGGTACTTCTTTGGGACTTGTTGAATGAATGAATGAATGCCTGCTTGTATGCATAGACGAGAAACACTTCCCCCATCAGCCCTCTTTCTTTGGGGAAGGGGTAGGCATCATTCTCTAGCTCTCCAGGTTGGAATGTTGTCTGGAGATTAATTTTAAAATTCCATACATATTTATCAGACAGAGTGGAGCATAGTACAGTGATTGAGAGGAGGGACTGTGACCCAGAGGGCCTGGGTTCAAATCCTAACTCTATCTCCTCTTAGCTGTGTGACCTTTTAAAGTTTTTAAATTTTTTAAATTTATATTTATTTATCTGACAAAGAGAGACACAGCAAGAGACAACACAAAGGGGGAATGGGAGAGGGAGAAGCAGGCTCCAATGCGGGGCTCGATCCCAGGACCGTCAGCCGAAACAGACACTTAACGACTGTTAATGACTGAGCCACCCAGGTGCCCCTAGCTGTGTGACCTTGAGATAGCTATTTAACCTCTCTGAGTCTCAGTATTTCTGTCGGTATAATGAGGGGAAGGTGATAATAGAATAAAAGAAAAAACCAGCCTCTACCTTAGAAGGTAGATTGGTTGAAAAGCACTCTGTAGTTGTAGTAAGCGCTACGATTTATTAAATATTAATATATTTAATATATTAATAATATAATATTAATATTAAATTTAAAAAACTATTTATTTAAAAAACAGACCCTCAGGGCTCCTAGGCGGTTGGTTAAGCTTCTGCCTTTGGCTCAGCTCATGATCCCAGAGTCCTGGGATCAAGCCCCACATTGGGCTCCCTGCTCAGTGGGGAGCCTGCTTCTCCCTCTGCCTGTCGCTCCCCCTGCTTGTGCTCTCTCTCTGTCAAATCAATCAGTAAAAAAAAATCTTTAAAATAAAAAAAATAAATAAACAGACCCTCTTCTAAATTTTATTTTTTATTTTTTTAAAGATTTTATTTATTTATTTGATAGAGAGAGACACAGTGAGAGAGGGAACACACGCAGGGGGAATGAGAGAGGGAGAAGCAGGCTTCCCGCAGAGCAGGGAGCCCGAAGTGGGGCTCGATGTGGGGCTCGATGTGGGGCTCCATCCCAGGACCCCGGGATCATGACCCTAGCCGAAGGCAGACGCTTAACGACTGAGCCACCCAGGCGCCCCTTCACTTCTAAATTTCAATAGATAAACCCATATGATGTACTAGGCACTGGGGATACATAGAGAAAGAAACCGCTGCATTTAGTAAGGGCTTGATTATTACCTCAATTCCGTTTTCCCTCTACTCCACGGGGTAGAAGCATTTATCAACCCCCTTTTATAGTTGCCACATGAAGCTCAGAAAGGTTGTTACTTGCCCAAAGTCACACAGCTGAACTTGAACTCGGAGTTTATCTCAAGACAGATATTCTTAACCCCAACGCTGGTTGGCCTCTTAACATTTTATTTATTTATTTACTTGACAGAGAGAGCACAGGCAGGGGGAGCGTCAGGGAGAGGGAGAAGAGAGCAGAGAGCCCTACGCGGCAGGATCCCAGGACCCTGAGATCATGATCTGAGCCAAAGGCAGACGCTTTACCCACTGAGCCACCCAGGAGCCCCTGGCGCGCCTCTTAGTCCCTACCCTCAAGGGGCTTCCACTCTCTGATGGGGAAACAGACCCTGGACAAAGGGCACAAAGAAGAAACAGCATGTCAGACGACCACTGTGGAGGATTTGGTGAAGGGCAGAGACAGGACATGGATAAGTAAGCACCGGCTGGCTGGGCTGCAGGGAAGCTAAGAAGCAGACAGTACGTTTGAAGTGTGAACAGAGCGTCCTTTTTTCCGAGGTGAGACCTTTTGGTGGTCCGAGAGGGACTGACTCTGTAGCAAAGGATTGGGGGCTTAGAGCCGTGCCCGCGCGCAAACTCTAGGGGGCGCTGTTTGGCGCGGAGCTGGGCACCCAGACGTGGCGGAGGCCTTGCTGGGAGGCGGGGCCGCCTTCTGGGGTGGGGTCGTGTGTGTTCGCAGGCAAGAAGACCCCGCGGGGACTGCCATGTTCCTTTTAAACATTATTTTGCGGGCTGCTCAGGACTCAAGACTTTTGACCACCAATGTGGAGGCAGTAGGGGGTGCCTGAGCCCAGGGTGGGGCTGGATTCCACCCGCCCGGATATCTTGCCCCGCGTCCCACACTCGTGTGAGGGAGGCAGGGAGGGAGAGAGGGAGAGAGAGAGTATGTGAGAGAGAGAGAGAGAGAGAGGGAGGGAGGCTCCTACCTTGTAGCCACTCCATAACATTTTGTTGAATGACTGGATGGATGGATGGGTGGATGTAGAGAGGAGGAACCCTTCTCTCAGCCCCTCTTTCTTCGAGGGAGGGGTAGACCTCGCTCTCCGACTCTCCAGGTTGGACTGTTGCCTGGGGATAGAAAACAAAAGAGCACAAAACATTTTGGTGGGAGGAGAAGGACTCTGAATTGTTATTGCTCAGCAATTTTTACAGCTGAAAAGTTGCTTCCCGGCTTTAGGGAACCCACAGGATATTATTAGGATTGGGTTATCCATGGCATAGAAAATGTAAGAGCAATTGGGGTGAGGAAAAAAAAATTCATTTAAAATTTTTTTTTTCCATGGGGCGCCTTGGGTGGCTCAGTTGGTTAAGTGTCCGCCTTCAGCTCAGGTCTTGATCTCAGGGTCCTGGGATCAAACCCCATGTCTGGGCTCCCTGCTCAGGGAGGAGTCAGCTTCTCCCTCTCCCTCTGCTCCCTCACTCACCCACTCATGCTCTCTCGCTCTCTCTCTCTCTCAAATAAATAAATCTTTAAAAAAAAATTCTCCCCAAAAAACTCTCCCTGAAACTTTTTGTGTGTGTGGAAGTTTCTGGGACAGTCATGTCTGTACTTCCCAGGACCGCGCTCTGGTGGGGACACTGAGGATGTCCCCCAACAGGGGCCTCTGAGGATTAACACACACACACACACACACACCCCCCCCCCCCCCCCCCCCCCCCACCCCCGCTCCGCGTGATCAGATGCAATTGCATAGAATTTCCTCCAGTCCTCACTACCACACCGAATGGGAGGGAGACCCGGGAGGGAGGGAGACCTCCCGATTTTACAGAGGAGGAAAGGGGGTTCAGGAAGGTGACACGCCTAAAGGGGCCCTGCCTTGAAGGGTCTCCCACCTCTCAGGGCCTGAGGCTCCGCTGAGACCAGAAGTTTCTTTAAGGCCTCTTTGGCTCAAGAATGGGCCTTTCAGACCCTGTGCTCTGTTGGCTCAAGGGGCACAGTGAGAGTGAGGTGGGGATTGGGACTGGCCAGGCTCCATCTGCCTCAGTCCTGGCTTTTTTTCCTCAGAGAGAGAGCCAAAGAAAACCAGGAACAGGCCCAACACCATCTGGAGGGGGACAGAGCTCGGAGACTCTGAGATGGGTGGAAGGAGGGAGTAGCCAAAGGAGCTGGGGAGAGGCAGCCTCAGGGGGGAAGCGTGAGGATACAGAGGTCTTCAGAGGTGGTGGAGGCTGAGTGGTGGGGGATTGGGTTCTGGAAAAGGGGTCTCACCTACTCCCCTAACTGGTTCCTCATGGTGTCCTCCTGGAAGGAGGTGGGGGCCCACACCAGCCTCTAGCTTTTCTACCTCTGCCCCTAAAACAAGCCTCCACACACCACCCCTATACCCCGCTCCCCTCGGGCCAAGGCCGAGCCCTGTTGGGTCCCCTCTGACTCCCCTTCCCCTGGCCTTCCTGGAATCCCGTTCTGTCCAGCCTTGGAGGGTTTTGTGGAGGCCTCTGGCCTTGAATCCAACTTGGGCAATGGGTGGGTTCTCAAAGTCTTGGGGAGCTTATCATGGGGATCTGGGGGACTCAGGCTGCTTTAGTCCCCCTACTGGCAGGCATATTCCCATCCCCCCTTTTCTCCCAACTTCTATTTTGTCTGGCTTCATGGGAGGAGAAAGCACGTAGATGACAAAGGGCCAGGGGCCTGGAGATGGAGGTGTCCTGCCTGATGTGTGTGTGGGGGGTACTCTTTGGTTTTCTGTCTCCCTCAGCTAGGCCCCCCAGAATCACAAAGCCTGGAAAACCAGGGTCACACGAGGTCAGGCCACATCTTTCAAGGCTGTGTCTGCTCTTTGGAAGGCACTCATCTGTTTATACCAACCACAGTGGTAGGGGGTGGCGGGTGCTATCTGTGTACAAGGACAACAGGGACTGAGTGTGGGAAAGTAGCCTCCAGGCAGATCTTATTTGTCTGTAAACACAGTCAGCCTGTGCCCCCAGGCAGAGAAAAGCCAAAGCCACCAAGGACTGGGACTACTCTCCTCCGCCCTGGGAGGGGGCACTCCCAGGCACACCCCCTCCTCCCCACCCGGGGAACTCTCCCTCCTAGGCCACCCAGAGTGTTTCCACAGCAATCTGGGCTGTGTTCTGTAAAGTGTGGTCCCCTAGCCAGGCAGCCCCCTGGAAAAGGACAGGTGTCCTGCACCTGTTGGGGGAGGGAGAGGAGAAAGGGAAGGCACACCCCCCCATAACCCCTGCCAGCGCTTGGGCTTCCTGATAGGTCCCACGTTTTCTAGAGCCCTGGATGCCCAGCCAATAGAAGTTTTCTGGCCTTGCCCAACCCCTTTGTGGGTCTGCTTCTGTGCATAAAGGCTGGGCCCCAGCAGGACAGTCCGGTGAATCTGGCCCAACCCAATGCTGAGCTCTCTGTTACACAGCTGGCCCTGGCTTTCTTTCCAAGATGCTGTTTTGGCATAACCAGCCAGAGCACCTATGGCTCAGTCCCCGGAAACTGTACCCAGGGTCTCCGAGTGACTTGCTCAGGTAAGGGCCAGAACCCCTTTCCCCGGCCTCCAAGCATGGTCCTGGTCTGTGTGGCGCAGACCGATAGGGCCATCAGGTTCAAGTGGAGGGGGATGGGCTTCCTGGCTCTGGTGCCTTTGCAGGTGGAGGAATGGTCCACCTTCAGTGGATCCTGGACCATCTCAAAACACCCTGACCACCCACTCTCTCAGAGCACTTTTGTTCGGCATTTACTTGGTCTCAGACAAGCCCTGAGATAGCAAACAAGTAACTGACCACAGTTTTTGTTTTTATTTTTTAAGATTTTATTTATTTATTTGACAGACAGAGATCACAAGTAGGCAGAGAGGTAGACAGAGAGAGGGGAAGCAGGCTCCCTGCTGAGCAGAGAGCCCGATGCAATGCGGGGCTCCATCCCAGGACCCTGAGATCGTGACCCGAGCTGAAGGCAGAGGCTTTAACCCACTGAGCCACCCAGGTGCCCCTGATGGCAGGTTTTTGTAGATGTTTGGTAGTATCTGGAATTTGCCCCTGGAGGGTGGTCTCCCGGAGATGGTAGAGGTTGGAAGGGGGACTCTTTTGGGCCCCTGCTCCTGCTGGAGTAACTGCTACAGAAGCCTTTGGCTCCCTGGAGGGTCTAGCAAGAGTCAAAGCCCCACAGGGGCTGGAGTGGAAGCTGCCAGTGCTCCCCTTCCCCCCCAACAGGGAGTCCCTGCCCTTGCCCTGCCTGAAGCAGGAAGGGCTACACAACATCCCCAGCTAGGAGCATCCCCACCCTGCATTCCAGTACATTCTCTGTGCAGCCACCTCCCATGCCTGTCAAGCAGCAGGAAGAGACCCTCACCTACCTGAACCAGGGTACTCTGGGGCTGGGGATGGGAAGGGTGTAGTGGGGCAGCAGGCACTGGGGCCGGGGCCCAGTGCAAGATGGGGGTGGCAGGCTCCATCTCTGCCCCAGTGGGGCTCCCACATCTCCTTGACCTCTCCCAGGCCAGCCCTATGAGGTGCGGATGCTTGGTAACACCACACTGAGTGATGCTACTGCCTGGGCCTGGCTATTGAAGGTAGGTGCAACCCTCTCCCCACCTGTCAAGGGCTAGGCATGACTGACCCTCTGGACAGGAGGCGAATGTCATCCCTGTGATGTCACTGTCAAGTAGAACCCTCTTGAGACCCCCTTTTATTTTTTATTTTATTTTTTGGAGACCCCTTTTTACCTTGACCTTCACAGCCACACAGTGGTAGGCAGGCATTATTGAGGAAAGAGGCCCAGAGAGGTTAAATATTTTCTCAAGGACACAAAGGAACAGATCTGGGATTTAGAAGTACATTTACATAGCATTATTCACATGCATGATTCCTTCTCTCCAAAAAAATTATATATTTAGCTCCCATGCATTGCCAGAAACTATTCCATGAGCTAGGGATTCAACAGTAGAGACAGATGTGGTTCCCTTCCTCAGGGAGCTTGCATTCTACTGGGACAAACGCGTGATCAGACAAGTTATAGGCAATAACAAATCAATTTACTGATTGTAAATTGAAAAGGGCAGCAAGAAAAGAAACAAGTAGAGTGGCTAAGAGTGGGAAAGGATTAACTCCCCCATTTAATAGATAAGGAAACTGAGGCTCAGGGTGTCTAGGTCACTACCCCAATGTCACAGCTAGTGAGTGGCAGGTGGGCATCTGGACACAGACCTTATGATCTAAGTGCTTATGACCCCTGAGGGTGGGAAGCAAGGTGGGGGCGAGGAAGGTGGGATGGTTGGCCGAACCCAGTTGTGGGAACTGGTTCCCAAAAGGCCAGGCACACTGACCTGTGAGCCGTGCCTTCCTGTGCCCCCAGAGTGTGTTGTGTGTGGTTTTCCTGTGATACACAGAGCAGCAGCAGCTGGATGGGTGCAGGTGGAGGTGGCCAGGAGACAGCACCCTGGACATTGGTGAATGGGGAGGGACCGGGGACCCTTCGGGTCCACTTGCTGGCTTGGACGGCCATGTGGATGGGGAGGGCTGAGTCTCGCTCCCTGCTTGTTGCCCTATGCCTGCAGATGTGCCCCTGTCCTTGGGGGTGATCGAACCCCAGAGGCTGCTCTCACCACTCAACACAGTGGAGTTTCATTGGAACCTCCCAATGCAGTTTGGAGTTTCAAGTTGCAATTTGGAGTTTCAAGAGGATCTCCCTCTTCCGGTGGGTGAGTCTGAAGCTGGGACTGGGTGGAGGCTGGAGGTCGTTTGGGAGTGGCAGCAGGCCCGGTGGGAAAGGAAGGGGAATTTGGGTGGGGGTGAGGGAACAGTAAGAACAAACCCAGTTACAGAAAGCACTTTGAAGGTAAAATATGGCTAAATGTTTATTGAATCTCACCATAAGGAAGGACTTGTTTTTGTTTCTTCTTTATGTGTGTGTGTGTGTGTGTGTGTGTGTGTGTTTAAGATTCCATTTATTTATTTGACAGAGAGCAAGTAGGCAGAGAAGTGGAAGCCGTCTCCCAACATGGGGCTTGATCCCAGGATCCTGAGATCAGGGCCCAAGCCAGAGGCAGAGGCTTAACCCACTAAGCCACCCAGGTGCCCCACAAGGAAGGACTTGTTAAACCTGAAAGCAATGGAAGAAGCTAGAAAACTCAGGACGCAACTTAGCTTCATAAAAAGCAATGGTCTGCAATACATAGGCAAAATTCAAAGGAGGCATCAAATGGGAAAAATAGTTGTCATATGACATATGTTTATAGCCTCCATATATAAAAAGTTCTCATATATCAATAAGAAAAATAGATAAAAGCTCAATAGAAAAGTAGGCAAAGGATATAAGCAGATGATTTATGCAAGAAGGATACAAATTACATTTAAATGTAGACAGTTCAACCTCAACCTCAGAAAATGCTAATTAAATGCATATATATATATATATATATACACACACATATATATGGCAAAGACTTTAAAAAAGACTGTTATTGGTGAAGAAGTAGTCTGGGGAGGCAGACAGCCTCTCTTCTGCTGTCTGCCTACTGCTCCCTTGCGGTGTATTCAATAAACTTCTAGCTCCTTTAAAAAAAGAAGAAGAAAGAAAGAAGTAGTTTGTGCAGTCATTCTTTGGTAGAATGACACTTGGGCAGAATTTACTGATTTTATGTTCCTAGCATTCTACCCCATTGTTTTATTTTTTTTTTAAGACTTGTTTATTTATTAATTTATTTGAGAGTGAGTGTGGCGGGGGTGGCAGAAGGAGAGAGAGAGTGCCAGGCAGGTTTCATGTCCAGCATGGCGCCTAAAGAAGGACTTGATCTCAAGACCCTGAGATCCTGAGCCGAAACCAAAAGTCAGATGCTTAACTGACTGAACCACCCAGGTGCTTGCCCCTCAGTGTTTCCATTTCAAGAAATTGAGCCTACAACAGTGTTCAATAAGTACACAAAGGTATCTTGACCAGTTCTCCATAGCAGCACTCTTCCTCATATTCAAAGATTTTAAACAATCAAAGTGCCTGTTGGAAGAGGATTGACTTTTACATAAGTTTGAGTGCAGACATACACTGGAAATTATGTAGCCATTAAAGTGAGGTCTAGGGGCACCTGGGTGGCTCAGTGGGTTAAAGCCTCTACCTTCGGCTCAGGTCATGATCCCAGGGTCCTGGGATCAAGCCCCGCATCAGGCTTTCTGCTCAGCAGGGAACCTGCTTCCTCCTCTCTCTGCCTGCCTCTCTGCCTACTTGTGATCTCTCTCTCCGTCAAATAAATAAACAAAATCTTAAAAAATATATTAAAAAAAATAAAAATAAAGTGAGGTCTAGGGGCGCTTGGGTGGCTCTGATGGTTAAGCGTCTGCCTTCAGCTCTGGCTGTGATCCCAGGGTCCTGGGATGGTACCCTGTGGTGGTTCCCTGCTCAACGGGGGGAGTCTGTTTCTCCCTCTCCTGCTGCCCCTCCCCCCCAACTGGTGTTCTCGCTCCTTTGCTCTTTCTCTCTAATAAATAAATAAGTAAACAAATCTTTAAAGTAATGGCTAATGAAAAGAAAACTGTTTTCCTATAAGTAAAGAGAAAGCAGAAGACAAACTTGTATTTAAAGTTTGAGATTTCCATTTGATTAAAAAAAATGTGTGTGTGTACACAAGTTGTTTTTCCTTTTTCCTTTCTCTTGCCCAGAGAAAAGGGAGGAAGAAAGGATCCTTGAGTATTAAGTGCTATGTCTGAGAGGTGGTGTGATGGGATGCCTGTATTCCTTACTCTGTGTCAGAGTCCTCCACATTTTCTAGGTTGAATAGGTTTCCTTTTATAATCCAACAATATTGTCAAAAATCCCCTGTGTGTCCCTCTTTTGAGTGCTCACCATGGTGTAAGCACGTGGACTGGGAGGTCAGGTGGATGTGGCACAATTTCATTTCCCCTCCTTAGTAGGCAGACCTTGCCTGGGTCGCGTGATCTTTGTTTCCCCATCCTTTCAAGTTCTTCTCAGGATTGTGGGAGGGTTATAGTGGGGAGTGGGGGTAAACAGAGGGGAAACCCTGCTGGCCCTTGGAATCCCAGTACCAGGCAGAACACAGGCTGTAGGCTGTGTGGAGTGCAGGCTGGGAAGGCTTCCTGGAATAGGCTCTTTGATTTAGCAAATAAAACACAGGACATTCAGTTAAATTTCTATTTTATTTTTATTTGTTTATTATTTTTAAATGGATATTTTTCTTTTTTTTAATTTAATTTCTTTTCAGTGTAACAGAATTCATTGTTTATGCACCACACCCAGAGCTCCATGCAATACGTGCCCTCCATAATACCCACCACCAGGGTCCCCCAACCTCCCACCCTTTAAATGGATTTTTTTAAAAGATTTTATTTATTTATTTGTCTGAGAGAGAGAGAAAGACCACAAGCAGGGGAAATGGCAGGCAGAGGCAGTGGGAGAAGCAGGCTCCTTCCTGGTTGAGCAACCAACCAGATGCCGAACTTGATCCCAGGACCCTCCCTGATCATGACCTGAGCCAAAGGCAGATGTTTAACCAACTGAGCCACCCATGCATCCCCAAATTTCCATTTTAGATAAGAACTTGTTAGTATAGGGGCATCTGGGTGGCTCAGTGGGTTAAAGCCTCTGCCTTGGCTCAGGTCATGATTTCAGAGCCCTGCAACTGCTCAATGCTCAGCAGGGAGCCTGCTTCCTCCTCTCTCTCTGCTTGCCTCTCTGCCTACTTGTGATCTCAGTCTGTCAAGTAAATAAATAAAATCTTAAAAAAAAAAAAGAACTTGTTAGTATAAGAATGTCCCATGGGGTGTGTGGGGGAGAATATCCCATGAAATATTTGAGATATATTTATACTAAATTATTTGTTGTTTACCTGAAATTCAGATTTAATGGGGCATCCTGTATTTTAACTGGCAATTCTACCCTGGAATGGGACATTTTGTCTTAGATAGGAGCAGGATTGCTTTCCAGGTAGAAGATTCTAGGGAGAACTATATGCAAGTGTGTTGGGGGCCATGATTAGACCGGGGAGGTGGGTCAGTGTGTTGGCTGATGAGAGAGAGAGAGATACAGAGAGAGAGTGCACGCAATCATCCAAAAAGGCCTTGACCCTTTTTTTTTTTTTTAAGATTTTATTTATTTATTTGACAGATCACAAGCAGGCAGAGAGGCAGGCAGAGAGAGGAGGAAGCAGGCTCTCTGCTGAGCAGAGAGCCCAATGCGGGGCTTGATCCCAGAATCCTGGGATCATGACCTGAGCCAAAGGCAGAGGCTTTAACCCGCTGAGCCACCCAGGCACCCCTTGACTTGACTCTTTAAGGGGCTCAAACCTGAGGGTCAGGAACTTTGTTTCTAATCCCATAACCATGGGGAGCTACTGAAGGATTTTGAGCAAGGGAAAGAACCTAATAAAGTTATGCATTAAGAAATAAACTCCAGGGACGCCTGGGTGGCTCAGTTGGTTGGACGACTGCCTTCGGCTCAGGTCATGATCCCGGGCTCCCGGGATCGAGTCCCACATCGGGCTCCCAGCTCCATGGGGAGTCTGCTTCTCCCTCTGACCTTCTCCTCCCTCATGCTCTCTCTCACTGTCTCGCTCTCAAATAAATAAATAAAATCTTAAAAAAAAAAAAGAAATAAACTCCAGCTGGGGTGGAAGGTTGCTGTGGTGAAAGGCTGACGGGTGACAGGTAGGTACAGTTTGTAGGTGGACTTTCTTGAATGTGGGTGGGACCTAGAGTCACCCTGCTTTCTCTTTGCTTCTTCTTCACCTCAGATTCACCGCATCAGCACCGTGTTTGCTCCTTCCAAGATGGGTGGAGAGAAAGGTGTCCCCTTCCGCCTCCAGATCCACACCTTCAAGGCCAGCGACAAGGACCTTCCGCAGGCAGCGCACCTGCACTCTGCCGGCCGCCTCACCAAAGTGTTCAAGGTACAGGCGGGTCCCTGCCCCTCCCTCTCAGGACTGTCACCCTGCTTGGCGGCTGGGTGCCCCCCCTCAGCCTGCCGCCCCCTTCCCTACACAGAGCGGGATGGAGCTCGAGCTCCTGCTTACAGCCCCTTCCATCCCGAGAAGGGGGCAGGTAAAGTGGGGGGCTCTGAACTCCCCTCCTCACTCGCCTGCAGCCCAAAGGAGCTGACCGCAAACTGAAAACAGACCGGGAGAGGCACAGTATCAGGCTGCCCCTGAGGGCCTGGTGTTCACGGAGGTGTGCGGGTGGGGGTGGGGCGCCGGACGGAGGAGAGCAGCTTTGAAGGAAAGATCCTTATTGTACGTGTGGGTAAATTGAGGCCTGAGTGCCGTGGCTGCTCCACGATCGTCACAATCCCGGGTGATTGCACCTGCTTCCTGCAAGGACAAGCCGCACCGTCTGTTCCAGCCTCCTAGGCTGCCTCTCCTGCACCCGCCATCGCCCCGCCGCACTTGGGCCCCCTCTGCCTGGAGCACTTCCCTTCCTGCTGCCGCTTCTGGCTGGCGGCTCCTGGAAGCTTTCCCTGGCTACGCCCCCCCCCAGACCAGCAGGCTAGTTGACTCTTCCCCTGAATGGCGTTTTGTCCGAGACTCCTTAGGGCGCGGGGACCCTGGTCTGCCTCCCACCAGAAGGAGGGGAGGGAAGAGCCTCCGCTGGCCTCGGGATGTCTAGGCTGAACCTTGCGGCTTGCTTGCCCCACAGTGTTGACCATGCCCAGATCCCAGTGCAGGGCCCGACTAGCCTCTCAGCCCTCTTGCTCCGACCTCTCCGCACTCGGGCAAGCTCCTGTCCCCAGAGAGGTGAGGTGGGGTGAGCGTGAAGAGCCCCTCAGCCCCGGCATCCGGGGAGGGGCAGGGTTGAGGTTGCGGTCAAGGGCAAGAGGCTCAGCTCAGTGCCCTTTGTGGCGGGGGGGGGGGGGGGGGGGCCCCCCGCCCGCCCCCCCCCCCCGGGGAGGGGGGGGGGGGGCTGGGGACCGGCTGCACTCCCCACTCTCTGCTCCCTCACAGGCTCTGCTCCTCCCCACCGTTCGCCTTGGATACCTTGCGGGGCAGCCCCGCTGAGGTGCGTCTCCCCTTTCCAGTCCCCCCAACCTCTAACTCAAAGCCTTCTCGGCCCCCAATCTTTATCTCAAAGCCTTCTCCGGGCTTCAGTGCACTCTTCCAGAATGGGGTGGGCCTGCCCCCTGGTGGACAGAGCTTGTATAGCCACAGATGGCAAAACAGAGGACTGGGGTTCTTGGCCGGCAGGATGAGGCTGCGGGCTCTCAGAGGTGGGGCCGCCAAGGGCGGGAGGCTGTATTTCTCCTGCCCCTTGTTCGCATTCTGTGGGCCCATGGTGATAATCTAGACTGCCCTCCTCATGCCTCAGGACCTGAACCCTGGGGCCTCCATCCTAGCCCCGCAGCAGTGGTTGCATCAGCACCTGTCCTCCAGCTACTACGGGATGCTGACCAACTTCACTGGTGAGGCTGGGGTCTGGCAGGACCCTACCTGTAGGAGACTGAGGGCAGGAAATGTGCCTGTGGCCTGGCTTGCTGTGCGTTCTTCAGCTAACTTCTGTTTAGGACTAAGAATTGCCAGACACTATGCCTGCTTGGCTCTCTTGTCCTGTCTCACCCCATGTAATTTATATACTACCCATGAGGATAGGGCTCAGAGAGGTTAAGTGACTTGCCCAAAAACACACAGCTAACAAGCAAGGGGCAGAACTGGGGTTTGAATCCGAGTTTCATCCCCATCTGTGGACATACTCGGGCAGTCTGGAGACTAATGTTGGATTGTGTCCCTTGCCATGCTTGATTGCAGGCCTCTTTCCGCAATATGGCCCTGACTCTGTAGGTACTGATCTGCTGAAGCTTACCCGCCAGGATCTCGTCCAGATCTGTGGGGCTGCGGATGGGATCTGCCCTCTCAATGCTCTTCAAGCCAATGCTCTTTCTGCTGGGCGCTTTCCCTCTGTAGTTGTGTTTACCAACTCAGCTAATGGTTGTGACCCGTGGCATAGTCAAGCTGTAAGGTAACTTAAAGACCATTTAGTCCCACACCCTCTTTTTACAGAGGAAGAAATTCAGCTCCCCGACAGTGACCTACCTGCTTGAGATCAAGAACAAAGCTGGCAGGGATGAACTAAAAAGTTAGGCTCCTGTGACCTCCTTTTTCTGGACCCATCCCACCTGCATCACTCCATTTCTGAGGACAGAGATGGATTTTTCTCATCTTCTCTTCTCCCAGGATCCACCATTCATAAAATGTCTAAGAAATGAGTGGTGACCTCCCTCTCTGGAGACCTGGCAGGAGGTGGGATCCCTCCCAGGGAGGGGCTGTTAATTTAGGTGTGAAGTGTTGATACATAAAATTCCTGGCCCACGCCCATTAGTCACCAGCTGACTGCATGTGGCTCAGCAGGCCTCTAGGCAAGAGAGCGAGGTTCCTAAGAACACCAACTCAGGTGAGGTTCTGGTCTCTCTCTGCAGGTGAGATTCAGGTGTGGCTGCTCAGAACATCTTCTTGCCTGGGGAGAGGGTGATCCTCCATCATTCTTGGGACCTGAGATGCCTTACCTGGCATTCCTCTGTCTTCCGTGACCAGATTAGTCCTCTCCTTCCAAGATGTCCCCTGAGATTATTCCTCCATGTTCCATTCCCCAAACCTATTGTTGTCATTGTCGATATGCAGCATTCGAACATTATAATCCTACTGTATTAGAGTTTCAGTCATTCATATGCAGGTGGCCCCCCTTTTTAAATTGGGGCTCCCCTCAGTCTGAGGCCTCCCCAAAGCTGAGAAATAGGTGAGGATTAAGTGGATTTATAAACCTCTTTCCTTTACTCCTTCCTGCCCCCATCCTGCAGGAAGCTAATCACCTTGTCCTCTCCTTCCTGGTCTCTGGGGATCTCTCAGCTGCCCCCCGCCCCCCCCCCCCCCCCCCGCCACTGATTCCCGCCCTGTGAGGTGTGCTGCTCACATCCCCAGGCTTTTATCAAGAGATCTCTCTAGGGGCGCCTGGGTGGCTCAGTGGGTTAAGCCTCTGCCTTCACCTCAGGTTATGATCTCAGGGTCCTGGGATCGAGCCCCGCTTCCCCACTTTCTTTCTCTGGTTATTTGTGATTTCTGTCTGTCAAATAAATAAATAAATGAATGAATAAAATCTTAAAAAAAAAAAAAAGAGAGAGATCTCTCTAGATGAACTCAGCGCCGTGCAGCTGTCTGCGAAGCTGGCTGAGTTCTTGGCCCTCCCAGCCAATCAGATCTGCTGCCCCACCCTGGGGACGTCTTTGTTCTCCTCAGTGACCAGGTACGGGAGCCCTGGCTCTCTGCCAGGCCCCATAGGGGCCTTGATCACGATCCCACCAGAAGCCGAGTGTCCTTCTCCCTGCCCTGGCTTTTTCTGTTTGGCTCGAAGAACAGAACTGTCTGAATGACCCTTTCTCCCTGGCAGGTGGTTCAGAATCTTGAGAATGAGTCATACTTTGTGGCTGTGGGGAACAAAGGTAGGGGTTTTAGAGGAGAAAGAAGTCTAGCAGGCCCTAGAAAGGGCAAGATTGTGTTTATTTTGTCTCCTAAATGGGACTAAAAGATGCTGTGAAGGTGTGTGTTCACTGGGGGTGGGGTGGGGCTTGTGGCGTTTTCCAGTCAGCTGGTAGATATCTGAACGCCCATTTTGTTGGTGTCAAAGGGACAGATCCCTGTGGCTGCAAGGCTGTTTGCCGCTCAGGGAGAAAACGTCCCAGTTTCTAGGCCACGGAATAGAACAGAGAGGAAGGTAAGGCCCCCCCTCTGTCTTCTGCCCCCGCCCCCCATACTACAAGACAGAAGATGCTTGCTGGACATCACCTGGCACAGAGCACCTCTGACCGGCTGCCCTGGGGTTCTCGTTATTCAGAGATGCCTGCCCTCTATCCCTCCTACAGGACAGAGGGAGGCTTCCTCATGCTGGGGGAGGAAGAACACCCGGGTATGGAAGGTGCCCTGCCCGCTGCTTGGTTTGGGAGCAGCAGAGAAGCTGTGGTTGGCTTGTCTCACCCCAGCGGTGCCCTTCTCTGCTTTCAGTGCAGAATCCAGACGGCTACTTCCTGGTTCTTACCTAGGCCCAGGGGCACACCGCTGCAAGAGCCAGAGACGGACACCAGCCTGGTTCTTGGGGGCCCCACATTCACCAGAAGCCTTGTTTAAAGCCTCAGCAGCTTCATCGGGCTCAAGGTGAAGCGTCATGTCCAACCCCTAGAGAGGAGTGGAGCAGCCCCCAGGCCCATCTCTCTGCTGAGCTGGCCAAGGCCGTGAGGCACAGAACCTGCCCCTGTGGAGAAGGCGCCTTTGCCCCAAGCAGAGCCGCCCGAACACTGGGTGCAGGGGTTCAGGTTTGTTTAAAATTGTATTCACCCTTTGCTTTTCTTAAAATTAAAAGTTAATTTAAAAAGGCATATATGTTTAATGTGTTGTTAATGCTTGCTCAGTTTTCTTGGTGTTTTGGTCCTTTTGGGGGGAAATGTTCTCTCCTTATAGATGAGGGCAAGGGATGGCGTCTGGGACACAGGAATAAATCAGCTTGGCTTTTTTTTTTTTTTTTTCTTTTTTTTCCCAACTAGTTTAGACAAAAGGTAATCACTAAAGCCTCTAAAAGACCATTCAACTATCAAATCACTATGCTTATTTAACAATTCTAGAGATGTAGGGGCGCCTGCGTGGCTCAGTCAGTTAAGCGTCTGCCTTCCACTCAGGACATGATCCTGGAGTCCTAAGACAGCCTCCGGTCCTGTCAGGCTCTCTGCTTGGTAGGGAGTCTGCTTCCCTCTTTTCCTCTGCTCCTCTCCCTCCCCCTGCTCGTGTTCTCTCTCACTCACAAATAAATAAAATCTAAAAGAACAAAACAAATACCCAAACCTTCTAGGGGCGCCTGGGTGGCTCAGTTTGGTTACACATCTGTCTTCAGCTCAGGTCATGATCTCAGGGTCCTCGGATCAGACCTGCCCTGGATCACGACCTGAGTTGAAGGTAGACACTTGACTGACTGAGCCACCCAGATGCCCCTAAAAAATACTCTTAAAAAAAAAAAAAAAAAAGGAATGGGCCATATCTTATTCTGCTCATTTTTTTTTTTTTTGAAGATTTGAGAGAGCATGCACGCACACGTGCAAGAGTGGGGGTGGGGGGGTGGGCAGAGAGAGTCTTAAGCAGACTCCTTGCTGACTGTGGCTCAGGGCTTGATCTCATGTCCCTGAAATCATGACCTGAGCCGAAAACCAAGAGTCAGAAGCTTAAAAGACTGTGCCACCCAGGAGCCTGCTTATTTTTTTTTTTCATCCCCTTCCCTCTGAATAATATTACTATTGCTATTATTTAAGGATTTATTTATTTGAGAGAGAGAGAGTGAGCGAGCGCATGCTAGCAGGGGAAGGAGCAGAGGGAGACTATCCAAGGCAACTCCCCTCTGAGCACGGAGCCCCACACAGGGCTAGAGCTCACGACTCTGAGATCAGAGCCAGCACCAAAACCAAGAGTCCAATGCTCAACTGACTGAGCCACCCAGGTGCCCCTTCTCGGAATATTAATAAAAATCTCAAACACTTGAGGGGCAGTTGGTTGAGCCTCCAACTTCTGATTTTGGCTCATGATCTCAGGGTTGTGGGATTGAGTCCCACATTGGCACCACATGCTCAGCCCGGAGTCTGCTGGAGATTCTCTCTCCTTCCCCCTGCTTTCTGTATCAAAAAAAAAAAAAAAAAAAAAAAGGAAAATAAATCTTTAGGATGCCTGAGTGCCTTGGTTGAGTGTCTGCCTTCAGCTCAGGTCATGATCCCAGGGTCCTGGGATTGAGTCCCATGTCGGGCTCTCTGCTTGGAGAGGAGACTGCCTCTTCCTCTCCCCCTGCCTGCTTGTGCATGTGCTCTCTCTCTCAAATAGGTGAATAAAATCTTAAAAAAAAATTTTAAAAATCTTTAAGGCATTTCAAACACTGAGAAGAGAAAACCCCATATGCATGAAGTGGAATATAGGCCAAGGTGCCCTCTTAAAAATACCTGCTTAATTCCTTATTCATCATTTACCTCAGTGATCACGCCTGTAATTCCACAGGGTTCCCCAAGGGTGTTTCACAGCAGGGTACATAATGTGAGATTGAAATTCAGGTTGCTGACTTGGCCACTGCTCATTTCCACCAAAAGGCCTGGGACCCCACTGCATTAACCTCCGTCTCTCTCTCTCAACCTAGGAGCCCGTAGCACAGACTCAATACTGAAATATTTGTTGATGCAAAGGAAATAAAAGCAGGTAGGAAGTATCTACCATGTGGTGTTATTATCTCTTTAATCTTCACACTGTGAAGTGTAGGTACTGTTATCCCCACTTTACCAACGAAGAACAGAGACGGGGAGAGTCAACCAGCCAAGGTCATTGTGTGTGGGAGAAGCCGGACACTCTGGCTTGGAGCTTGTGTAACTATTATGCTACTCTTACCATCATTCCTTCTAGTCAAGGTGAGGGCAGTGCTCTCCACAGATAGGGGACTCAGGCTGAACTGCTGCTGTCAATGAGTTAAAACAAAGGTTTTTTAGAAACTCTGATTTGTATTATGTATTCTGTTTTTCTCAGAGACAGGTGGAGTTCAGGGTATTAAGTAAAGGTATTAAAAAGGTATTAAGCCTATTAAATAGTAAAGAAAGGGTATTAATTAAAGAATACTAAAAAAATATAAGGATGCCTAAAAGAAGCGCCTTCATTCAGCCTCAGGAGCCTTTGCAGTTCTGGGGTTCAAGGAAGTTAAGAATCACAGCTCCGAGTCAGGCTATTTCCGCAGCAAAATGAAAAGTCTTCACAGCTTATTTCCTTTAATTACATCATAAAACAAAATTAGAACATACAGGAAACAGTAATAGTTACATAACAATTTACTTTATATATTTATATATAAAAAACATTTTTCTTTTAGTCCAAAGATTTTAAAGCAAAAGGAATCCTCTACTGCCACCTTGGATTTTATTTTAAATAACCCTCCCTCCCCCCATCCTCAAGCGCCAAAAGTATGGGGTGGAAGCAGTCACGTGGACAGCTAATGGAGCCTGGTGCTCAGTCACCAAGTCGGGACCGGGTCAGCCACAGGGAGTGGCTGAGCGCTGGGGCAGGCCTGGTGGAGGAACAGGGAAGCGGTAGCTTCCCACGCTGAAGCACTCGGGGGAGGCCGAGAGGCTTCAGGGGGCTTAGGCCACAGCAAGGTTTGGGATCAGGCCCTGCCAGTCAACCATCCTCTGCCTTCAGTCCCCTCAGGGGGGAGAGGGGTTCGAGGGGGTTAGCTCAGGGATGGAACAGCCTGGTTTGAAGGTAAAACTTTCTCCTGCAGCACCATTTGCCCACCCAGCTCTGTCCTCAGGCAAACAGGTGGGGGTGGTCCTCCCAGCTGTCTGCCCTCTGCACAGGTCTGTGCTCTCAGGTGGGCAAGGCTGAGGAGAGCAGCCAGAAACCGCCTGAGGCAGGTTACCTGGAAACAATTCCTAGTAGGAAAGAGGAGGCAGCTGGAGGTTGGCAGCTGGGAGGAGCCAGAAACCGCCTGAGGCAGGTTACCTGGAAACAATTCCTAGTAGGAAAGAGGAGGCAGCCAGGGTGGGAGGCAGCTGAAGGTTGAGTCATTAAACAGGAATGGAGAAAGGCAAAATGCAGAAGTCCTTTCTCCCCTGGACCGACCAATGGAAGGACTGTAACCCTTCTAACCTTCGGACTGGGCAGTCACAGATCCTCAGGGGCCAGCTCTGAGAGAGCAGAGGCACAGTGCAAAAACACTAACCATGTAGCTTCTGCTGAGCCCCGCCCCACGGGTCAAGTGTGGTAGAGGTTAGCATGGAGTTTGGGGGTAGGGTGAGGAGGGGAGTAAGAGAAGAAATCTCAGGCTCACCTCCTTCCTGCACTTATTAGAAAGTAACAGTCATCAGAAAAGCACAGGTAAGAAATTATTCTTAAGGGCAGGAAAAAACATGTAAACCCAGAAAAGCAGCAGCAAAGGTTTCACTTTTTACAGGTCTAGCACTAGGAAAGAAAATCATTCAAGTCTTTGGGGGCGAGGCGGGTGGCAGGTAAAGTAATTAATCAAACCATGCCAGTTAGAGATTCCTTTATCAAGTTAGGATTTTCTAAGACTTTCGGTTGTCGTTCACTAGTGCCATAAGAAAAAAAGGAAGGGAGGGAGGGAGGGAGGGAAGAAGACAGAAATAATGATGACTTCAGGGGCTAAGAAGGGTTAGGCTAAGGTAAGAAACACATGTGTGTGAGCAGCAGTGAGACACAGATTTGAATTAGTGAAAGTAAGTAGTTAGCAACAGTGACAAGCGGAACTTTGTGGGGCAAAGATTTCTTCTTCCACCTTAATAAAAAAGACATCACTTCAAAGATTTTCCTGGGTTCTTGAGGTGTGGCAAAAGAGAAAAGGTATGTGTCTGGACACCTCTCTTCTCCCATCACTTCTTGGGATGCGGATTCTCATTCACTGCCTCTTTTGGGGTGCCCATTCCCATCTGGGTGACTCTGGTCGGGTACAGGGTGGGTAGAAGCCCTCCGTGCCAGTGAGAACGGCATGGAGTTCACTGGATGGAGAGGAAAGCAAATCTACTCACGTGTGTGAGGCAGGTGTTTCTGCATATTCAGGACAGAGGCTTGTACCCAAAGCAAAGTGCCCCAGTTCCAGAACTGATTCTCTCCTTTACTTTCAATCTCATCTACCATTTCCCCACCCCAATTCTTCAAAACAAGACACTGAAAAGCAGAAAATAGAGTCCATTGATACAGTTCTGGTTGCTCACGGTTCTTTTTCCTAGAAGGGCAGTGAGACACCGTGGCTGAACTCAACCCCTTCGAACCAGACTCCACCGAGGGCTTACTCAAAGAACGCATGAGGCAGAGATGGAAGCACATTACGGAATTTCTCTTAATATCCCACATGTGAGCTTGTCCAAGACATTTTTTTTTACCCCCTGCTGAAAATTAAGTGTAACTCTGTTGGCCTCCAAAGATTCACTCAGACTCAGCTGAGAGGTTCTTACTGACTTTCCTAAGAGTCAAAGCCTTCAGAGATGCAGATCTGATGTTCCTAAGAATAAAAATGGACAAATAGAGAGACTGGCCTTATAAGGGGGAGCTGCAGAAGCCCTGCATGCAGAAAAAGCATTTATGTGTCTCAAATGAGTTTCTGGCAAGTAGAGTTTGTCTCAAGTGAGAGGGCAAGCTTAGAGCAGCATGTTCTTTGCTGAAAAACCAAGCTGTTCAGTTAGGGCACCTGGATATAGCAAATACAGCCAAATGCTATTCCCAAATTACCTGGGTTAATTATAGCCTACCAACATGGTCTTATATAGTTTTCTGTATCTTCCAATATTACAATTAAAGTTTATGAGAGAAATAAAGGTGATGAGAGGCTTAGACTCCTATTTCCCCTCACCCTCCTACTGCTTGAGCATTTTTTAGGTTCTTTGGTCCAAGGTCATTGTAAGGGGGAGGGTTTGCCTCAAGACCTCCAAACAAACGTCCTCCCTCTTGTCCGAAACAAGTCTCAGCTCATTCACACTGCTTGGGTTTGAGGTGGTTAAAGATCCTAGAACTGGTGGACAGATAGGAAGGCAATCTTTAAAAAAAAAAAAAAAAGAAAAAAAAAAAAAAGTTCCGGAAGCCCAAAGCATACCACTGAGAGAGTTCCTCAGCCAGGATGCACAATGGGGATGGAAACCTAATCACACCATGCACACAAGGAAGGAAAGGCAGAATAGACCCGTTTCCTTTAAACCTCTCCTCTTGTACCGGTAGCACCTGTCATAAGCAACCCATGACTTTCAGCACAATAAACATTAAATGGCCAAGGGTCAACCACGATCCACACGCGTTCCTAGTCTTCAAAACCACAGTCACCTAAAGATATGCTGCCCACACAGGCAGGCAGGCAGTCGCCTCTTCCTTCCGGTGCCACTCATACTTCCCTACAACTTCAGACCAGGACAAATTCCCGCATACCTTGTTTACCCCTCATGGTAAGAGTGGGCTATCAAACCGGTAACAAAGCATTTTACAAGGCAATTAGGAGAAATAAAGGAACCTGAATGCTATAGCATCAGACCTGTATCGAACAGTTCAAATTGTTTGGAAAGCCCAAAATAAATCATCATAAAATATTTGCCAGGTGTCCCTCTAAAATATGTGCTGGAGGTCTGCTACATCAACTTAATGAATGTGGAAATTTACAAAAGCCATTTAAGAAATACATCCACTGAAGGGCAGAGGAGGAGGAAATAATTTTTTTTTTTTTAACATAGAGCACAATGTGCTTTCATAGTCAAAATATTGGGGGGGGAAAGGATAAAGACTGATCCCCTTATTCCTCATATCCAACAGTATGATTTCAAATTTTGGTAAGCAAATGTCCAAGACCACCCAGTGAAAAATGACCTGAACCACACAACAGTTACTGTATTCAAGGCTGCCCAGAGACTTTGCTTGGGTCAGGACAAGGGCCTAAAGAGGAAGTTAGAGACTAGAGACACTGAGAATAAATCAGCAGCATCACTGGGAGTAAGATGGAGGCTTTAAACAGAAGGCAAGATGAGTACAGGAAGAAAATGGGAGCACTGCAAAAAAAAAAAAAAAAAAAAAAAAAAAGAAGAAGCTGGGATCACCTTGGTGGAGCCAGTGTAGAGGCCACAAAAGATACTGATGTAGCAAATGATGCTGGAAAATGTAGAGGGAAAGGCTGCTTGGAAAAGAGGTGATCTGGATGTTTAATAACATTCTCCAAAGACACAGCAGTAACCCCTCCTGGCTACCTGTGAGTCTATGCATTAGCTCGGACGTGTTCTAACATATCCCAAATCTCTCCATTCACTCTGTATTTCTTCATCATGGAAGACAGAGAGGGCCAGGGCTGGAGTCAAAGGAACAGGCTAAGAAGCTTTTCCTAAATCCCTGAAGTCTTACTGAATTTTCAAAAGTATCCCTGATATTAAGATAGGATGGTGGGGCCTTTCCACCTGACCAAAACTTACCACGTTCTGGGTTCTTAAATTCCTGGTACATTTCATTAGCTGGTGTAGGTTGCAGACCGGCATAAAAAAATCTATTTCCTTCCAAGCTCGAAGGGCCTGAAGTTTTCTTGTGAGAGGAACAAGGCCCAACCACATACACACCAGTGCTGCATACTTCTTTTTTCTCACTGGACTCTGCTCTTGGCCCAGATAGGTAGGGATCACCTGAGCAAGTCCACAGGCACCTGTACATGGGTCCACTCTTTGAGATGAGAAACGGCATTTCCAAAATGTACGTGTCCTGGTGAATAGGGTCTTTTACATTTATGTACTTTTTAAGTAAGGAAATACTTTAATGGCCTCTACTGGCGGGCAATTTAAATCCATACTCACTAACCAATCAGGGTTTTATGGTCAATTTGTTCAGACAATACTAAAAAAACCTTAATATGTTAGAGCAGATGGCCCCTAAATATTTCTCTTTTTACTTTTGTCTGAATGAGTTACCTGGGGATCTGAATATTACCAACCACATCTGGAAGCATGTGTGCAAGTGTGTGCATCTGTGTATGTGGGGTATAACCAGGAGGAGTCTCATTTTCCAAAGTATATCCCTATGCCAACTATACTCCAATAAGAAAAATTAAGTATATTCTTCATATGATATTTTGAAAAGAGGATAAGGGGAAGGAATAATGAAAAATGAAAGTAATTTGAGCTTTTAAAAGCGCATAATAAAAAAATAGGACTTAAAGTAAATTTAACATGCAAAATAATGGTGGACAGTACAGATTTCTAGCATCCTTTCATGGAATTGCTTGTGGAGAAGTCAGTCCTACTTTATTCTTACATATGCCGGTAGAGCCAGCACCTGCAGCATTATAACAAGTCTTTTAACAGCCTGGATCATGCAGGAGATGATCTAAGATCATGGCAGACTGCACAAGAATGTCCTAAAGACCAAAAAAAAAAAAAAAAAAAAAAAGGTGTCCTATTAAAAAACTACATAAGGTTTCTAACTTTGGGCTTTAGAAATCTACTTCTTATACTTCAGAAACTGATTTTAGTTTCCTCATCCTTTATGACTTTTTGGGGGGAAGGAAGGAAGCCTCTTCTTTGACTCTGAATCATGGGCACTGAATAGGCCTTCAGCTCTGCTGCCCATGCTGGGCAGAGACACCGAACCCCCTACTTCCTCTCAAAGCCTTCATCTGGTTGCCCTTGTATTTCCTTCATGGGAATCCTGGAGCACAAGAGAGATAGCGTTGACAGGTTTTGAAATGGTTCTGGTCCTTCGAGGTGCCAACATTTGAGATACACCAACAACACTGACATACAGTTGACCAACTGTTCTAGGGTCATTCTCGTATCCCTGAAAGGCTTGAACAGGGGGAAAAAAGAGAGAAACTGACCAGCTAGACGGCACAGCAACTCTAGCAGCACTCCTACTAAAACACAACAACCTCACAGATACCAATCAGCGATGGTACTGCTCACACCTAGATTTCAGTGAATATTTGACATGTCTGACCTTGGGTGGGGGGTGCTTTCGGGCTCAGTTTTGGGATCTGCCATTCCACTCTTCACTAATAATGCATTTCTTTCTCCTTATTAAGTTAGTGGATTCTGATGGGAGGTGCAGGGAGAATACTGGGCATATCATGCGTATTATTATAATATCACAAGGTATAACAGAAACCAAAAGGCAAAGTTTGTTTTCATCAAAACAGTTTTAGCTCAATTTCTTCTCGTACCATATCTCAGTTTTGTGATAGTTTCCCTTCACACTGGCAAAGATTCAGGCAGGGTCCCCTAATGGTAAAATTTAGAATTAAAAAAATATTTATTGATAATGTCTCTTTAAAAATGTTTGGTAACCCCAACTAATCATCCAAAATGCACACTGTAAACACAGCAACAGCAAAAGAGTAACAATTGAGTGTGAGTAAGCAGACAATGAACAGGTGACAGACTGAGCAAGAGTGCAGGAGGGAGCAACAAAGACCGAAAGACAGGTGCACAAGTGTGCTACAGAGAGTGACAATCTGAGTGAGTAAGTCATCACATTTGGACCACAGTGATTTCAGTGCAACCATTTAGGAAACCTCTGGGCCAAATACTTAAAACAGGAGGAGGAATGGATGAGCCTTCTTTGTGAGCATGCTCAGCATATGTTGGCATGGGAACAAGGAAGCACAGAAGCTCTGTAGTCATCTCATGATGGATGACTACCATTTATAAGATGCAAAGAAATTTTCTTTCTGGTCCCTGGATACAACATATATTGTTTTTCTATGCTTTCCTTGACCCTGGAGGACTGCAGTTGCTGTTCCAAAATCACCAAAGAAACCCCTTCACAAAATGAAGAAACTGCAGAAGCAGTAACACTGGGTTTGCTGGAATGCCCCCTTCCCTCCGCCTTGCCTATGATTTTCTTCTTGGCGTGTCCAACAGGAATGGTTAAGTTTCACCAATCCACTTGATAAAGCCAGCATGGGCTTCAGTCCCCTGGTCTCAGAACTAGAGTGGGTGGCGGTGAGGGTGGGTATGCATGTTATGTGCGGCTCTGGGGATCTGGACGCTGCCCTCGCTTTGTAACCCTTGCCAGAACACTGGGGTTGCTTCCACTGGAGACTCCACGGTAACTCTAGAAGTGTCATTAATACTCAGTTCACCAAGGCTGACCGCCTCCATTGTCATAGGATGATGCAGCATCTGCAGAATCGCTGTCTGCTGCCCCCTACTGATGGGGGTGGAGTGACAGGTGCGAAGTAGGCGTGGACTTTAATATTGGGCAAATGGGTCTGAAACAAGACAGAAACATTACTAAGAGAGAGGGCTTTGATAGAAAGAGCAACATTGCTTTTCAGAAAAAACAAAGGAGGTAAGTGAACATGAAAGCAAGGCAGAGGCTGAGTACCAGTCAGGATGTTGAGAGGCCTGGGTTCTGCTTTCTAGTATTCCAGGTTGTTCTAAATGACTAAACAGCTCCTGACTTTGGTATCTGCTTTTTAATAATAAAACTGGGGGTAAGACTTTATACTAATCTCTTAACCTGTCCCAAAGGGACTGCTAGTTGCATTTCCAAAGTTGAAAGAAACTGTACAAGCTTAAAATGATTTTTTCCATGTCACAGTGGACAACGTTTCTTCTGATATTTTCTTAAAAAGTCCATTATCCTCTTTTAACAATACACTGTTTTTACTACATAAACAGTTTCTGAGTTCCTGGCACACTCAAGGCACTGTGCTAGTTACATAAGGGAGTACAAAGATGGTCAACACAGAGGTCCTGCTCTTAGGGAACTTAACAGTCTAGACATAAATAGCTAAATTAAAATGGAAAAGTGCTAAGTGATGATTTGAGAACAGATAAAAAGTCTTGAGGACTCAGAGTTGGAAGAGATTCTGTAAGGAGGGCATCCATAGGAGAGGCTCTCGTTGGCCAGCGGCTCTCCTCTTTTGGTGTAGAAGGAATATGGCTGCAAGGCTTTCCCACAGCAGTTATGCTCTCAGTCCTCTAGGTCCAAAGGGAGAGGAAGAACTAAGACCAACTGGAACTCAAGATGAGGTCTGGTGCTCCTTTATGTACTCAGATGCCATATGGCCAACATGGATGTTTTCAGACACTGGTTGTAAGGGCCTAACTAAGCACAGTGCCTTTCCCACAGCAGGTGTGAAACAGATGTTCCAATAAATGTCTGTTGAGCTGAATAACCTAACATATAGATTCATTCATTCTTTTATAACCTCCTTGCTGGCAACCTGTCTTCTAGTCATTTCACTATGCATGGGTCTCTTTAGTATGGAGGATGGGGCTAAAAGAAAGCATTAAAAAACAAAAACAAAAAACCCCCCAAACCCCACCAAAACAAACAAAAAACCCTACTTAATCCATTTGTTGTCTTAAAAAAGAACCCCAGCAAAAGGGTCTGATGTGAAAGGAAATACAAATTAAATTCTTAAATTCCATTTAACTAAGTATTTTTCTTTATGTTATTTCTTTCTTTCCTGAATCTGGCATGCGTTTTTGACTCTGGGCATGTTATTAAGCCCTGGACATTACGGTAGAGACTCTGCTGGGAGAAGACCTACTTTCTTCCTCTCAGTGGGTATTTTCCCACTAAATTTCCATCTGGAACAACAGGTAAAAACTATCTACCCTTAGGTTTGCTCTCCATTTTTTTTCTCTTTGCTAAATGTCCAAGTCATAGAAATCTACGTCTAAAACAAAACCAAACACAAACAAAAAGGAAACGGAAGAGGGAAAAAAAGAAAGAAGGAAAGGTGCCGAGAGCATCAAAGCTGTAAAGTGTGTGGCCGTGTTTACCCTGAGTCTCTTGATCCCAGCCCGTGTGATCTGCTGGCAGTCATAGAGTTCTATCCGCTCGAGGCTGTGACAACTCTTCAAGTGCTCCAGGGAAGCATCTGTGATCAGTGGGCAGTTGTCCAGTTCAATCACCTCCAGCTGGTCATGGGCGCAGGCCCCATTCCCCAGGTGACGAATTCCATCGTCTGTGATCAGCTCACAGTGAGACAGACTCTGCAGCCAAATAGAGCAAGGAAGGACACTGGAACACCTCATGGTATTTTTCTAGCCACTGGCCTGTATACAGGCAGAAAGGAAACCTTCTGGGTTGGATTGTGATGTCTATGGAGCCATCACCAGATCTACGCGGTGAAGTAAGAAAGCAAACTAGAGTTGCTGGGGTTCTGCTTTTGACTATCAGTGACTGACGTTTCTGTGTGTGATTCTTTTTCAGGGAGGAAGCAGAGGGAGAGGGAGAGAGAGAATCTGAAGCAGGCTCCATGTCCAGCGTGGAGCCTGATGCGGGGCCCAATCTCACAACTCTGAGATCATAACCTGAGCCAAAATCGAGAGCTGGACGCTTAACCTACTAAGCCACCCAGAAGTCCTTCTGTGTGTGATTCTAAATATACTGTGTGAATTTATGCAAGGACTACGAAATAGTTCATGAACAAATCATGATATCCAAGCCCACATACAAATTTATACTTTTCTATAGGGATAAGAGGGGCTCAAGTGTTTTTTCTTTTTTTAAATACTTAAAAAAAATTGGTTTATTTGACAGAGATCACAAGTAGGCAGAGAGGCAGGAGAGTGGGGGGTGGGGAGGCTCCCGGCTGAGCAGAGAGCCCAATGTGGGGCTCGATCCCAGGACCCTGAGATCATGACCTGACCCGGAGGCAGAGGCTTAACCCACTGAGGCACCCAGGCGCCCCTCAAGTTTTTCTTGAACAAAACCTTCTGGAATTTGGACTAAATACTGAATACCTGGTACAGGGGAATGTCCAAGCAGTTAACTAACTGAAGATGATTCCTACACCTGTCAGGTGTGATCATCTCTTTATACAAATCCCTTTATCAATTTTCCTTAAATCCCTGGTTCCCCCACGTGAAACTCTGAACCCCCTTGTTCCAATTCTAATTAGTAACATACCATAAAATACATACAAAAAATGAGCCTGGACACAAAATAGTTAAGCAGAGTAGCAGAGAACACCCCTAGTAAAGCCTTGATTAGTTCTGTTCTCTAGGACCATTTAGTCTCAAGGTGAAGCAAATTGTATTTTGGGCTATCCTGTCTCCTGGATCGCTGAAATTTAAACATTATTCAGGCTGAAGTGTAATTCACGTGGCAGGGAGAAGTCATACCCTCCTTGTCACTTTTCAATCTCCAAGTACTGATAAATAATCCCTTGGTCCTCTGTAAGTTGGCAATTTGCAGAAATATGTTTTCCCAAAATGGTAGCCAGACACCAAGAAGAAAGTATGAGGTAGGTTTGATTAAATCCAATGAACACATAAAACTTTAAAAAGTCAAACTTACCAATACTTGAAGTCGAGGACAGTGTATAGAAAGTTGGATTAACGTGCTATCTGTTATCTGAAAGAAACACGTAAGTTTATTATAGGTATAATTCCAAAAAAGCTTCTTGACTATACCTCATTCTTTTTTTTTTTTTTTAAAGATTTTATTTATTTATTTGACATAGAGAAATCACAAGTAAGCAGAGAGGCAGGCAGAGAGAGAGGAGGAAGCAGGCTCCCTGCTGAGCAGAAAGCCCGATGTGGGGCTCGAACCCAGGACCTGGGATCATGACCTGAACCGAAGGCAGCGGCTTAACCCACTGAGCCACCCAGGCGCCCCGACTATACCTCATTCTTGAGTATAACTGTATTCTACACTGATATCCTGATATTAATAATAAAATAACAGATCTTAAGATTGAAAGCCCTTCAGCTACTTGAACCTGTTCTTTGAGAACCTATCTAGGCAGGCTTGAACACATCTAGTCATCTGGAGTCTTCCATCTTTGAACAGGTCTGTTGAAAATTCTCTTTTGTTTCTGAAATGAATGAAAATCTGTCCCCTTGTTACTTCTACCCACTGGACTTTGTTTTACCTCCTTAGAAAAGAATCAGGAGACGCTGCTCCATTAAAAAAAAAAAATTTTTTTAATGGGAAAATATCCTCAAATTATTAAGTATATTTGGCCTATATTTTATAAGCCATGATAGAACTCTGATAACCTGGGTGTCAGGTATTTTCCCAAAGACGACAAAAAAGGGGCTGCTGGAATCTGGGTTAACTATGAACATTCAAGAAGGAGGAACTCTTGAAGGAAGAACAGTCTTTTAGAGTTATCTTAGGCTGGAAAGTAAATCAGTGCTTCTTTTCAAATGTTCCTCCAACTCTGAAATGATGATGATGACCATAACACACAGCTTCACAGGGGCTAAGAAATGGTGGGGGATGGAAGGTTGGGGAGAGAAGGTGTGTGCACATCACTGAGAAGGAGTAACACTGAAGAGGAGGCGCTGCCCACTCAAGCATGTGCCAGAGATGGATGGATGTGACCAAGTTCTAGTTTAGTAAGAACAGTTGCTAAGGAGTGTCTGGATAACAAGTAATTTAGAAAAAACTGACCTCTATAGTTACTGGAAGTATCTTTATTGTTACCATTAAAAAGATTTACTAATCTATCTCCTTTTTAGGAGTCGCCCTTCAAAAATTTCTGAGGGGCGCCTGGGTGGCTCAGTGGGTTAAAGCCTCTGCCTTCGGCTCAGGTCATAATCCCGGGGTCCTGGGATCGAGCCCCACATCGGGCTTCTCTGCTCAGCGGGGAGCCTGCTTCTCCCTCTCTCTCTCTGCCTGCCTCTCTGCCTACTTGTGATCTCTGTCAAATAAATAAATAAAATCTTAAAAAAAAAATTCTCTCTGATCAACTAGTAATCTTAAAGCTCTTATAATTGGTAATAAAAGAAACAGTTGCTAAGGCAATATTTGGTCTGTCTGCCCAAAGGGCAGAGTTGGATCTCCAGGGCTAATATTATAAGGGGTCCAGAGTCTCACTGAACTAAAAAAAAGGTGGGGGCAGTGCTATACTGTTCATGTGATGGGGCTTTAATTATTTACTACTGTTATAACCCTGTATGTCTTAGGAAACACTTTAACATCTTTACGGCCTGAATGCTTGGACCTACTTTCTTTCCACTGGCAACCTTACTGATGGCATATATTTTCCTAGTTCCTTACCTTGCATGCCACGAGTACTTCTGCCTGGATACCTGGAGGACACCTCAATAAATGAAGAATCAGCACTGCCACCAGGCACTACACTACATTGGGACAGGGAGCTGAATGTTTCAATGTGTATGTATTATGTAAGTTTTTTTTTTTTTTCTTTTTTGCCAGTCTCTATCATACTGTATCTCTCTATTTTTTTTAAGAATTTGTTTATTTTAGGGGGAGATGAGGGGAGCAGGTGAGGGAGAGAATCTCAAGCAGACTCCTCATTGAGCTTGAACCCCAGAGTCCGCAAGCTGAAACAAAGAGACTCCTAACCAACTGAGCCACCCAGGCGCCCCTATGATAATGTATTATTTTTAAACTTTTTTTTTTTAAGATTTTATTTATTTATTTGACAGAGATCACAAGCAGGCAGAGAGGCAGGCAGAGAGACAGAAAGGGGGAAGCAGGCCTTCCACTGAGCAGAGAGCCCGATGCGGGGCTCAATCCCAGAACCCTGAGATCATGACCTGAGCCAAAGGCAGAGGCTTAATCCACTGAGCCAGCCAGGCACCCCAATGTATTTTTTTTTTTTTTTAAAGATTTTATTTACTTATTTTACAGAAAGAGAGAGATCACAAGTAGGCAGAGAGGCAGGCAGAGAGAGAGGGGGAAGAAGGCTCCCTGCTGAGCAGAGAGCCTGATGCAGGGCTCGATTCCAGGATCCTGAGATCATGACCTGAGGGGAAGGCAGAGGCTTAACCCACTGAGCCACCCAGCTGCCCCGATAATGTATTTCAGAGTAGAAATCTATACTCTTACCTGAACACACTCTTCCAGGTCCATTTTTTCAAGCTCATGGCAATTCTACAGAATACAAAACCAAACATTATAGCACCAAGATTTAAAACATGGGAAAATTTAAAGCCAGAACACTAAGAAGCAGTATTTAAATACATGGACAAAATCTTAAGTTTCAGAGCTGGTGTCATTCTAATGTCACTTTCTGCCTTCATTAATCACACATTTTAAAAGGCCTTGATCACAGTGGAAATTTCTCAATTACGTATTTAATATCTTTTAAGTCCAAGGGAATAAATTTTCTGCACATTAATACCAAGGTAATACAGAATCCTTCCAACCATAAATAATGAAAATTATCTCTTTGAAAGAATGGAAGGTAAATTGTGTGTCCTCACTGAGTTATGCCACGTGCTGCCCCCTACCCATTAGTCTTCTATCAGTCTGCCTGAAAGCAAATGTCCCTCCCCAGAGTCCATATATGCTAAAGACAGTATAATTTTGAATACTATTATTATACAGTGATTTATAAAACTATTCCAAGTATTTATTCTGGAGAACACAAAAAAATCTCTTAAACGATCTCCATTTAAAATCAGGTCTAGGGGCACCTGGGTGGCTCAGTGGGTTAAAGCCTCTGCCTTCGGCTCAGGTCATGATCTCAGGGTCCTGGGATCAAGCCCCGCGTCGGGCTCTCTGCTCAGTAGGGAGCCTGCTTCCCTTCCTCTCTCTCTGCCTGCCTCTCTGCCTACTTGTAATCTCTGTCTGTCAAATGAATAAATAAAATCTTTAAAAAAAAAATAAAAAAAAAATAAAATCAGGTCTATATGTTTCTTTCAATGTTACTCTCACCCACCAGTCACATACCAAATAACCAAGAAAGCTTTTCCACGATGCACTAGGAAGGCCCTGCCTAGCTTACCATCTAAGGAAAAGTGGCAAATCAAGTTTCAAGAAGGAACATCATGGTCTCCAAGACACGTCTGTATTTCCAGAGCAGTTCACGTTCTTTAGGCCTGTGGCTGCAGCATGAGAAGGCTCAGGCACACCAGCCAGAGAAGTGCCCTCACACTCCACACCCTCCTCCACTTTGCTGCCATTCCATGTTTCCCTTGTTGCTCACTCTTGTGAAATAAAAAAAAAATTTATTTTGTAAAGAACCTGGAGAAAATAACTTACCCTGGCCAGAGTGGTAAAGCCTACATCTGTTAATTGAGAACACCTCGCCACTTCTAATATTCTGTTGAAAAAACAAAACAAAACAAAAACAAAGTGAAAGTCAAGCCCTTGTTTTCTGAAAACTGGGTTTATTAAAACAGCAAGAATTTAAGAAAACAACCTCCTATTCCCTAAACACTGCATGATAGAGTGATATTAACAGCTAAGCAAGTCTGTATACAGATCTTGCCATTCATTTTCATGGAGTCATCATAAAGTGGTCCTGTAAATACCACATTTCAGAGTGATGCAATCAGAAGAATATAATAGAAGCTTGTAGTTAATGCCAAAATGCATTTAAAAGCCTTCTTGATGGCATACTGCTTACCCCCAGAGGGCAGCCTGCTCCTAGAAAACAAAGGAAATGGAGATAAATATTCTGCTTCAATTAATCTGTTACTCAAGTAAATTATTCTCTTTCCCATTTTACATGTAGGTTCACTCAAATTTAAATAGCTTTTAAAAATACTATGAAGGGACTGGTTAATTACAGGCCTGTCCCATGTATGAAATTCCACATTTATGAAAAAAATGCCCTTAAGCTTCCTGCCTCTTCCCACAGGCTCCCAGGGAGGCCCAGCGCAGAGTGGGGCTGAGCTGGCAGCCAGTCTCCTACTCAGGAACTGCTGAACACCAACAGAAATACTAACCACGGGACCTGGGAATCAAAAGTAGCTCTCTTCTGTGAAGAGTCTGGTGGTGTCTGCATGATATTACCAAATAACATATCTTCATGTTTGCTTACGAATTACTTACTACATGAGTTGAAACAAACAAAGCTATAATAGAAGAAATCATTATCAACTAGCAATGAGAAATGAATATCTAAGGGGAAAGCAGGATCTGACTGAACCTAACTTTTGATTCTGATATTTGAGAGCCTTTCTGTCCGAACAATAAAATAAACTGTGAAGGAGTAAGAAGCTGAACACTCCTTGCTTTAAAAGAGAAAAAGGTCATGTGTAATATTTTTAAGGAGGAGTCTTGCTGCCTCCTTAGCCCCAGGCCTCTGATAGTATTAATTTTGACCAAGTCTATGATATATCAAGGAATTCTGATAATCTAGGCAACTTTTCTTTTAACAATTATGGTTAGGCCTCTGGCCAGGTGATAACAAAAAGCTTTAATAAAGTTACATGGGTTTATAGTGATTATTATATGTGGTTTCCTGGGTTCTGGACCAGACTGCCTGAATTTGAACCCTTGCACCTGAACTCACTAGCTGTGAGACCTTGAACAGGTTACCTGACCTCTCTCTGTGCTTCAGTTTTCTCATCTGTAATATGGAGATAATAACAGTGCTTATATGCTATTATGGGGATTGAATGAATTAATATTTGCAAATCACTTAAAACAAGGGTTAACATATCTAGCATATAAGTACAATAAAGTTGTTTTAAGAACAAAAAAGGCATATGGGGATCATCCTTATTTATTACAAAACAACATGCTGTGTGCTTTTACAGAACCAATATGGGTTTGAAAGCATGTGCATGCTAACACTGCATTCTTAGTAAATATTCAGCCAATGCTTCTTTAGGCAAAAAGGAGGAACCACAGAGAAATCAGGCTTTCTCTAAAAGACCATGAACACAAAGGAAGTATTCCTGCAGGGCTGTTTTTTTTTTTTTAAATACTTAATGCTAAGTAGCTGGCATCATTACCACAAGGTAAATAACCACAGGGTAGGCCTTTAAAAACTTTCTTCCGAAAGGAATTATATGAAGTATTAATAAGAGAAAATGCCTTTACTTCATTTCTGAAGTAGAAATAAAATGTGAATTTTTTTTTCCTAGTATGGATAGCAAGAAGTAGGAAACAGGGAACATTACCCCTTGGTTTAAGCCAATTATACACATAATCAAGTGAGGTACAAAGCAAGCAGGTTAGCACCTAAAAGGCAGTAACCTTGTAGTGTCTACCTTAAAAATCTCAAAGTTCCGAGCAATAAATTCGTGTGAAGAAGGCCTTTGTTCCTTTCCCCTGATTTTTTGAGCTAAACAAGAAATGTTTACCTAAGCCGTGGGCAGTTCTGACCTAGAGCATTCAGGATGGCATCTGTGATGTTGGAGCAGCCGGAGGCACAGAGGGACTGTAACTTATGGCACCCTCTGCATATAGTAATGAGACCTTCATCTGTGATTTGCTAAAAAATAAAAGCAAACCCCCCCAAAGGTATTAGTAACTCAGCAGAAAAAAAGAAGGAAAAAACATTACCTCTGAAAATAAGCACCAAAAAGAAATAAACCAATTTAATATTAATCAGGTAGCAAACCTAAAAGAAAATGAACACACTTTGTTTCTCCTTTTCAGTTCCTTTTGATTTAATGTGCTCATTTCTTTCTTTCTTTTTTTTTTTTTTTCCTTTAAGTAGGCTCAATACCCAACATGGGGCTTGAACTCACGACACTGAGATCAGAATCACATGATTGAGCCAGGCACCTCTGTGCTCATTTCTGGTGTAAACGGAAGAAGCTATAATGGGATTCTTTTAATGTAATGGGACTGCGAACAGCATGAGGTGCATCATGGGTTAGATTCAATTAAATTATTTTAAAACCCAGAAAATAGATAAGAATGGCAGTATAAACTTATTTGCAAGTTCCAAATTGACACTGACATTAAGTTAATGAAAAAATAAAACAACCTGTGGATGACAGTTTCAACTTCATATCAACCACAGATCTATTTCTTTCTTTTTTTTCCCCATTTAGTTCTTTATTTTAATTGTAATAGTGTAAAAAAATATTAATTTATGGAGATAAACTGCTGTATCCAACTCAAACATAATTTTATATGTTTTAAATTATTCTAAAATTTGAAAAGGACACACCAAAATGTTACGCTAAAAAAAAAAAGCCATGTATAAACATCTTAACATGTTGGATGTGATTAGCAATTCAATTTGTCCTGCTAGATTCACAAATTTTGTGTAAGCCTCAGAATAAAGCTCCCTGTCATCTCTGTTCAATCAGTGTCCTCAGGTTGCCAGGACAATTAGAAAAAAAATATCGAGCTTTAAATATTCACTGCTTTAAAAAAAAAATTCACTGCTTAAATCAGTATATTCTCAATATTGTATAACTAAAGCAAGATACAGATAAAGAAGTTGATGCTAAGGCAGATACAAGATGTATTGTGAGGATAAATTAATGAGGATCAACACATGTGGAAGTAACTAAAAAGATGCCATGCAAGTGTGATGTACAGTTATAACTAAATGAGGATAATTGAAATGTAAAGGGGAAGCAGCAATCAATGAACATGCATATGTACCAGGTCAATGAGAATTTGTGTCACATAAGATCAGGAAAGTATATTGTAGGACTGTGCTGCCTCCCCCCGCCCTTTTTTTTTTTTAAAGATTTTATTTATTTATTTGACACACAGAGAGACAGCGAGAGAGGAGACACAAGCAGAGGGAGTGGCAGGCAGAGGGAGAAGCAGGCTCCCCACTGAGCAGGGAGCCCAATGTGGGGCTCGATCCCAGGACCCTGGATCACGACCTGAGCCGAAGGCAACTGCTTAACCGACTGAGCCACCCAGGTGCCCCTGCCTTTTGCTTCTTAATGTTTTCAAGTCTTTAAGGGATTACTGATGAGAAAGGAAGATGAGAAAAGTCATATATAACAATTCTTCAAAAAAAATAATAAAATTTACTAAACTTCTATGTTTTCAACTTAGTCAAGAAAAAGAATGGAATGAGAATGTACTTTGGTCACGTCAACAGTTTTGGTCAGAAACGTGAAGTCTTAGGAATGAGAATCATTGCATCACATCCTACAGAAGGAATGACTTATGCCTTAAGATCTGGGTGAAGGGAAAGAGTAAAATAAACAGATGATAGAGCTGGTTCTTTGTGCTCACCGGCTGGGGTTTCTGTCTGCTGGAAGGGCCAAGGAAATGAAACTAAAACAGCAAACAGTAGGTATGGTATATATGTGTACGTAACATATATCCACACAAATACATACAGAGCATATCTGTGTGTATATACACATTCGTAAGATCCAAAGATGCCGGAGAACAGTTTTTTCCTGTCACTATAAGATGATGATTTCATGCTTATAGCAGTTGTGTAAGCTCTTCCTGTCAGGCCAGATATTTCAGTTTCATAAATGAGATCGGGCAAATTCTGAGAGTTAGCAACTATGGCAATCAGAATTAAAAGGAAGCGGTGGTCAGACTTAAAAGGCGTATCATTCCTTTAACTCAGTCTTTAGGAGCCTCCTAAGCAGATCATTATCAGCATCATCCCTTAAGGGCTGGAAGGGGGGTTGCTTCAATTGCACAAAACATGGCCCTATATGTGTCACCTTTCAACAACCACTACGGTCTCAAGTTTCAGGTGATTATACAAGAACAGGAGGGGATAATGAGCAGAAGTTTTAGCAAAAACAAGGCAAACCCTCATCAAGTCTTTTCATTGCCATGAGAGGCTTTCACTCCAAGGCAACACATATTTGTAATTTTCAAGGCAAGAGAGAAAAGATAAAAGTGTATTGTTGATGTTCTAGGACCCTGAATAGTTCTAGCAAATTGAGCAAAATGCAGGGGTTTGGGGATACACACAAAAGAGGTGACAGTCTAAAAAAGCTGAATGTGAATTACAATACCACTTGGCAATACTTGAGTACATTTTGCTTGTCATCTGTTTAGATCAGTGGTTCCCAATAGTTATGACTCACTGATAGATCTTCATTGGCATAACTGCAATTAATTAACCAAAAAAATATTCTAAGTACTAAAGTCTGTGAATAATTCACTTCTAAAAGTAGAAAAGGGGTGGAGTTCTAGTTAGCTTATTTGGAAATCTGCATGGGCAATATCTTCTATATTGTCTATGTCAAAACCCTTAGGAGTGAGTGTCCTTAAACACGCCAAGAATCGTATCTGTGTGACTCCTGTGTCCCCAGGGCTGAGGTGGAAAAACCACTGGTCTTGATGATGGAAGCTTGTACAATAATATTATTGCAATGAACTACTAATACAAAAGAATTGTGGGAGGGACGGCTTACTAAGCAAGTCTGCAGGTTCAAGGTTACCAGTTCAGGACAGTGTGCACCTATGTACTTCAGAGCTTCATCTTCTAGCTAGAAAAATTAAAAAGACAGAAAAAAAAAGATTACTAACACTGTTTCAAGAGATAAAGATATAGGAGTATACACATTTCGTCAACACATGCTAAATAAAGCCAACCAAGCTTCAAAGGAACAATGAACCAGAAACAATGACCCATGATCAAATAAAGGCATAATTCATGTCATTAGTATGGTTATCAGTATTTTTCATCAGTTCCAACCACGTCAAATTCACATGATCACCAAATCAAGGAAAAGATAAAATAAACACTGCTTAATGTTTATGGATTCCTCTTCTGATAAATTAAGTATGCCTCACAGCATTTTGCTCAGGGATTATGAAGCTAAAATTATTTTCACACTTCTGTACTTCCTATATAAAAAGTTTTTTTTAAAAACAAACTTTTGGGAGCAGAAGCTGAGAAAGGAATCCGGTTTATCTGCTGCTGGAAGATGAGTGCCACGCATACAGTGCTGAGAACAGATGGCAAGTAATTGATTATAATGGTGCATTCCAATCAATATTTTTCAGGATTCCATAAATAACCAGAAGCTCAAGCTGTTGTTTTAAGGCAGTCTTACTTCCAAAGCTCTGTTTCAAACAATGGAACTCCTCCCATCACAGTGAAGGAATAAGGGCACTTTTAACAGAAACCAAGGCATGGTTTCAGTAACCATTAATAAAATAATGTCACAAGAGCCTAGGCCTACTTTGTCAGTCACTTCTAAACTCACTTCTGATTATTTCCTTCGAGACACTGCCATGTCAATTCTTTTTTTCTTTTTAATCACCGTAAAATACAAAGATAGTAAAATTTTTAATAGCAAAATATGTTGGGATTTGTAATGTGACTGGCAGGAAGTAAACACCAACACTATAAAATGTAGGTTCTGTATACTTGGCACATTTAACCTGGTAGTTAAACAACTAGTGAAAACTGCTAACTAAGACTGCCTTCCTTGCCTCTCCAGTTCAAGGTCTCAGGCAGTGATGACATGTCTGTTTTCTTCAAGTTTTCTTCTCGGATTAAATTGTGTAAGATGCTTCCTGCCTATGGTGCATGCTCAGTGTGATCCTCTCTCCCCATCTTGCCTCCCCTCAAAAATTTTATCTTTGGTCAGATGTTAATTCTTTTCATATATATGTATTTTTTAACTCTAAGGAAGACACTTTAATTTTTGGTAAGCATGTATCCTTGGTCATTAATATACAACTACATATTCCTCCAGCCAACATTTTTGGGCTGCCTACAAAGTTCACGGTTCTTCTAAAATTCACAAGCACTACATGGAGTATTACCTGTGTGCAGCCTTTTAAGAATAAGGCCTTGAGACCCCCACAGCCTCTCACTAGTGCTTGGATGCCATCCTTGGTTACTTGGTCACACCAGGAAATGTTTAATTGCTCCAACAGTGGACATCCCTCACTTAGGACAAAACAAAATGAAACAAATAGATGACTAAATCCAATTCCAAAGGCATCAAAGTCTCATTTTATTGGCTATTTAGTCAGGGAATGGCTACAGCCCCATGCTTTCCCACAAGAATACACTCATTTACTTAACATAGATTTAGAATACAGGCAATCTCACAACAAAAACAAAGCCTAGTTATCAATGTTGGTTGAGTTCATGTGGGATATCCTGAGGAGAGCTATCTCAAATCCAGCTAAACTAATAAGCACAGAGCACAGTACTGTTTTTCAGATATATTAGACTGTTATGGAGGTTTATGCTTTTCAAATATATTCTTTTTGCACTTATCACATGTTTAAAAGGTCTCTGAAATGGAAATGGAAACTAAGTGACCTGTTCAAGTTAACAGCGTAATTAGTGAAGGGTTTAGATTTAGATTCTTTATCAAATAATTCTTTTACTTATCAAAGTAATAATGAAGAGGTTTAAATTCTTATTTAAAAAATTACAAAGAATCTATACATTTTCCTTATCTGTGAAGTCTCCTCAGTACAGTCTCCATAGGCTAAAATTAAGCTATACTGTGTTTGATCTCTGTCTTCTATCAAATATCCATTTTATCTTTGATTTCACATTTGAACTATGCAAGAATCCCAAGCTCTATGATATTCTTTGGACAATATTGCTCTAATTGTTTTATAAAATGAAGGCAGGGGATCTTGGTTCAAGTCCATTCTTCAACATTAACAGTGTGACTTCAGACAAGTCACTTTAGGAAACCTGACTGAACTTCTCTTAATCCAAGATCAGCCATAGCCTATGCTCTTCCCAAATGGAAGCACTCACTTCTGTAATAGCACTTATCACACCGCACTATGCCACTAAAGGGCAGCAACAACAATACCTTGTTTAGTGAGGTTGAATCATATTCAAAAATGTTTTGGATTTTCTTATCTATAAGTGTCTGTCCTATCTGCCTCAGATGGTTTTCAAATAAATGAAATCATTTATGTGAAAATATTTTATAAACCATAAATGCTGTTATCTTATCCTGTTTATTATCTCACCTGGCAAATGACCTTAGATACATATGTACTCAGTATTCATAAGGAAGGTCTAGAAGCCATTTTTAGATTACTTATACTCAACTAAATCTATGTTTCTTCTTTTAATAGCTTAATTTTTACTATTTATGAACATAACCAATACATGGGACCACAATTACCTGTAAGAGACTGATAAAAAAGTAAAGATACAAAGAGAATGGGCATTTCACCCTCCTTTTAAGGTATACCTTCTGTGATGTATTTTTAAAAAATAGGTTAATATTAAAACAAAACGTACTGAGTGCTTACTATATGCCAGAAACTCTCCTAAGTACTTTATAAACACTAGGTTGAACAAATGAAGCTGTCATCTTTATACCATAAAAGCTGTTAAATACTGCCAACTTTGTATGGTTTCGTCTAATATTATCGAACAGTGATAATACTGTTTAATCCTAAGAACAGAACTATGAGATGACAAGGAAAAGCTCACAAGGGTTATATTTGTTCAAGGTACCTGGCTAATCAATCACCTGACTCCGGAGCGCTGCTTTGATCACTAAGCTACAATATGTGGCGGTTTCAGTGGGGCAACCAAGTGGGGGCAACCAAGCCTTCAGAGAAATCTAATTATTCGCCTATACGCTATACCAGTCTGTTCAGAAATCCTAGTTATCCCTAGGCATTTCACCTGAATGTGTCCTGTAATTTGGGCAAGTGATCTATTCTGAACTATAGTACATATCCATAAAACACAGTTTCCTTCGATTCTAACTTTATTTCAGTTATTTGAAATTTTTAAAAAACTCAGTATTTGTTCTGATTATTGGATACTCTTGTTATAAGACATTTACCTCAGAGCTTTAAGAGACATGTTTGTGATTGATGTACAGGAAGCCAAGTCAAGGTGCCTGAGTTTGGAACAGAACTTGCTAAGGCTAGTACATGTACTGAAAAAAAATGGAAAAAGGAGAAAATAATGAATAAACAAATAGGGACACATCTTTAGTAAATCATATATGATTCTCATTAAACACATGTGTATACATAAGAACAGTAAAATTTCCATACCCCAAATAAAAGCAGTTACAAATCCTGGGACCTTTCACACTGAGGAAGAGGCAGGTGCCATTCACAAAGAAGAAAGGCTGTGCTGTGTATGACAATTAGCATGAGGGGATGATGATGCTTCGTTCTCGTTTGGAAATGTTTAACAGCAAACTACCTATGTGCTCACAGGAGACCTCTATGCATTTTGCAAATACAGAAATACCAGAAAGCTAGCTTAGAACTTGCTAGCAAGTGGTGCAACATGAAGACTGAAAACTGTCTCTGCTCTTTCATTTAAATCTCTACTCAAGATAACCTTTTGCATGGCAGTAATGAAATGGTTGGATTTTTGCAAGGTACATTGAAGATGGACTGGTATCGGGCTTGAACAAGTTAGTTTATGTAACAGCACTACCTACTTGTCCTTAGGACTTTTTTAAAAAAAGATTTATTTAAATTTATTTTTGAGAGAGCAAGTGAGCAAGTGTGAGTAAGGAGAGGGGCACAAGGAGAGGGAGAGAGAGAATCCTTAAGCAGACTCGGCAAGCGCAGAGCCCAACATGGGGATCTACCCAGGACCCTGAGATCATGACCTCAGCTGAAATCAAGAGGTAACCAATTAACCAACAAAGCCTGCCAGGTGCCCCTCCTTTTTTTTTTTTTTTTTAAATAGTAATCTTGGGGCGCTCAGTCGTAATCTGGGTGGCTCAGTCATTAAGTGTCTGCCTTCAGCTTAGGTCAGGATCCCAGGGTCCTGGGATTGGGCCCTGCATCAGGTTCCCTGCTCAGCGGGAAGCCTGCTTCTCCCCCTCCCACTCCCCCTGCTTGTGTTCCCTCTCTCACTGTGTCTCTCTGTCAAATGAATAAATAAAATCTTAAAAAAAAAAATTAATCTCTATCCCCAATGTGGGGCTTAAACTCATGATTCTGAAATCAAGAGTCACTTGCTTCACCAACTGACCAGCCAGGTACCGTTTTATGAATTTCTCAAAGGCTCTTTTTTTTTTTTAAAGATTTATTTATTTGTCAAAAAGAGAGAGAGAGAGCACAAGCCAGCAGAGGCAGAGAGAGAAGCAGGCTCTCCAATGAGAAAGGAGCCCTATTTGGGACTCGATCCCAGAACCCTGGGATCATGACCTGAGCTGAAGGCAGCCACTTAACCAATTGAGCCACCCAGGTGTCTCTTAAAGGCTCTTTTTATAAAGATTTTATTTATTTCAGAGAGAGAGAGAGAGAGATTAAGTTGTGAGCAGAGGAAGAGGAAGAGGGAGAAGCAGACTCTCCACTGAGCAGGGGGCAGGGGGGGCTCGGTTCCAGGACCCTGAAATCACGACCTGAGCTGAGGGCAGACACTTAAACCCCCTGAGCCACTCAGACACCCATAAAGGCTCTTTCTCCGCAATGGGCAAGTTCTCATTTAATTTTTTTAACTTCATTATGATGGAAAATTTCAAATATACACAAGAGTGAGAAATAGAAAATATACCTGTACCATCACTGAGCTTTGGCATTTATTAGTATTTGACTATTTCTACTTCATCTATTTCCCTCTGCTGTTTGTTCCAGTATTTATTTTTTTTTAAAGATTTTATTTATTTGTCAGAGAGAGAGAGCACAAGCAGGGGGAGCACCAGGCAGAGGGAGAAACAGGCTCCCTGCTGAACAAGGAGCCCAATGGGGGACTCGATCCCAGGACCCTGGGATCATGACCCTAGCCAAGGGCAGATGCTTAACCAAATGACCCACCAGGCGTCCCTGTTCCAGTATTTTATTTTATTTCTTAAGATTTTATTTATTTATTTGACAGAGAGAGATCCCAAGTAGGCAGAGAGGCAGGCAGAGAGAAAGGGGGAAGCAGGCTCCCACTGAGCAGAGAGCCCGACGCAGGGCTCAATCCCAGGACCCTGAGATCACGACCAGAGCCGAAGGCAGAGGCCCAACCCTTTGAGCCAACCAGGCACCCTGTTCCAGTATTTGAAAGCAAACCCACACATATTATTTCACCTATAATTATTTCAGGATATATTTCTAATAGATAAGGATTTTAATTCCTTAATATCTGATAACCCATCTGTGTTAAAGTTTCCCCAACTGTCTTATAAATGCCTTCGTCAAGTTGATTTGTTCAAACAGGATCCAAACAGCAGCCATACATTCTATTTGGCTGATATGTGTCTTAGGTCTTTGTGTAGACCTATGTTCCCATTTCTTCTGGGTGGATGCCTAGGATTAGCACTGCCAGCTCCTACACTGTGTTTATGTTTGACTTTTTAAGAAATTACCAAACGGTTTTCCAAAGTGGCTATGCTCTTTTACATTCCCACCAGCATGCATGAAGGTCTCAGTTTCTCTACATCCTTGCTAACATTTGCACTTTTTCATTATAGCCATGTTAGTGGGTATGGATTGTAATCCTACTGTGATTTTATTCTGCAATTCTAAAATGAACACTCTTACTTGTACTTATTAGCCATTCATCTCTTTCCTTGGTGAAATGTCTAAGTGTTTAGCTCCCAGTTTCTTTTAAAAAAAGATTTTATTTATTTGACAGAGACACAGCAGGAGAGGGAACACAAGCAGGGGGAGTAGGAGAGGGAGAAGCAGGCTTTCCGCTGAGCAGGGAGCCTGATGTGATGCAGGACTCAATCCCAGGGCCCATGACCTGAGCTAAAGAGAGATGCTTAACCAACTGAGCCACCCAGGTGCCCTATGTTTAGCTCAATTTTTAACTGGATTATTTTATTAATCGTAAGGGTTCTCTATACTTTTTTTTTTAAAAGATTTTATTTATTTATTTGACAGAGATCACAAGTAGGCAGAGAGACAGGCAGAGAGAGAGAGGCGGGGGAAACAGGCTCCCTGCTGAGCAGAGAGCCTGATTCGGGGCTCGATCCCAGGACCCTGAGATCATGACCTGAGTTGAAGGCAGAGGCTTGCTTAACCCACTGAGCCACCCAGGCGCCCCATACACTCTTAATACATGTCTAATTTCCTTCAGTAATGTTCTGTCATTTTCAGATACTTCTTATAGAATTATGTCATCTGAGAATATAGACAGTTTTACTTCTTTCATGTTGGTATGCCCTTTTTTTTTTTTTTTTTTTTTTGGCTTATTTCATTTGGCTAGACTTTCCAACAGAATGTTGACAGAAATGGTGACATTTAACATCCTCACCTTGCTCCTGATCCTAGGGTAAGGATTCAGTCTTTCGTCTGTAAGTATGATGTTAGCAGTAGGGTTTTTTTTTTTAATTTTTAAAAAGATTTTTATTTATTTATTTGACAGAGAGAGAGAGATCACAAGTAGGCAGAGAGGCAGGCAGAGAGAGAGGGGGAAGCAGGCTCCCTGCTGAGCAGATAGCCTGATGCGGGGCTCGATCCCAGGACCCTGAGATCATGACGTGAGCCGAAGGAAAAGGCTTAACCCACTGAGCCACCCAAGCACCCCAGCAGTAGGTTTTTCATAGATGCTTTTTGATAAGATTGAGTGAACTCCTTTCTATTTCTAGTTTGTTGAGGATCTGTTTTATTATGAATGTGTGTTAGATTTTGTCACGTGTTTTTTCTGTATCTGATGATCTACTATTACTTAACAAATTACCCCAAAACTGAGCAGCTTATAACAATAAACATTTACTATCGCACAGTTTTTGTGGGACAACAATACAGGCACAGGCAACTTTAGCAGGGTGCCTGACTCAGGATCCTTCACAAGGCTGTACCGGTCACCGGTCATAGCTGCATTGATCTCAAAGGTTAAATGGGTACGAACTCCCTTCCAAGCTTATTTAGGTGCCTGTTGGCAGACCTCAGAGGATCCAATTCCAAGCTCGCTCACTTGGTTTTTGGTAGGTTCCAGGTTCTTGCTGGCTGCTGGCCAGACCTCAGTTCCTTGCCACGTGGACCTCTCCACAGAGTTACTCCCAACAGGGCAGCTTGTGTGTCCCCCCCCCCCCCCCGCCCTGAGCCAGAGCCCTGAGGGAAAGCAGAGCAAGAGAGAATCACAGTCTCTTGGTAACCTAATCTTCAGTGTGACATCCAATCTCTTTTGCAGTATTCTATTGTTAGAAATGAGTCACTAAGTCCAGTCCACGTTCAAGGGAAAAAGATTACACAAGGGTGTGAGTACTAGGAGGCAGGGGTTACTTGGGGGTCATTTTAGAGGCCACCAATCACACTGAAATGATCATGTGGTTTTTGTCCTTTATTCCAGGGAACAATAAATCTCACCAGCTGTCTATTTTCATATGGCTCACAGGTCCGGAATGGTTTTGGGTGTTTTTAAATGGTTGAAAAAAAATTTTTTTAAAATATATCTTGCACATGTGAAAATCATATGAAATTCAAATTTCACTGCCCAGAAATAAAGTTTTATTGGAGCACAGTTATGCCTATTTGTTTATATAGAGGCTATGGCTGCCTTTGGAAAACACTGGCAGGGTTGAGGAATTGTGACAGGTAACTAACTGTACGGCCAACGAAGCCCTAAAAATATTTACTTATCTGGCCCTGTACAGAAAAAGTCTGCTGACTTCTACTTTATTCTACTAATTATTATGAGATATTATATTAACTGATTTTCATATATTAAGCCACACTTGTATTTCTGGGCTAAATCTCACTTGATTATGATCCAAAATCCTTTTATAAGTTGCTGGATTCAGTTTGCTAACACTCTGTCAAGTATTTCCACAGCTGTTTCTGAGGGATCACAGTCAGTAGATCACCTTTTTTTTTTTTTTTAAACATTTTATTTATTTATTTGAGAGAAGAGAGAGACAGTGAGAGAGAGCATGAGCGAGGAGAAGGTCAGAGGGAGAAGCAGACTCCCCGTGGAGCTGGGAGCCCGATGCGGGACTCGATCCCGGGACTCCAGGATCATGACCTGAGCTGAAGGCAG